AGCTCATGGGCTAACCTAGTGTCAACAGGTAGATAAGAGACCCCCATCTCCTGTGAATTCTAGGCCAGCTATGCCTACACAGTAAGCACCTATCTCCAAAAGAGAGACCCTCAATACGGAAGCTACATGAACACCTGAGCAGTCCTCTGAGCTCTGCATTGTGCTGTGCACACCTGGATTCCCATGTACACACACACACACACACACACACACACACACACACACACACACACACACACACACACGACTAAAAGGAGACTCCAGAGAACAGCTACAATATACAACCCAACAGAGCCTTCCTTCCCGGTGTAGAATACAGTGGAGGCCACACCCAACAGGTGCCTGGAGTCTTGAACCCCTTTCTCCTATTCACAATCCAGGACAGATGCTAACATCATCCTGGGTCCCACTGACAAATCCTCCCAGCACATCCTCCAAGGTGCTCCATCCTACCCACGCCCCTCCACCTAGCTCCACACCTGCCCACCTTTCGAACCACCTCTACTTGCATTCCAGGGCCATATCTGTCCTTGAAGTCACCCCCCTGGGACCCTACTGCATCCTGTGTGTCATGCTTCTGGGTACCAATACAGATCTCCACTGCTACACATGGCATTCATCCAGGCTGTTTCCCGTGCCAGACCCTCTCTGCCCAAAGCTGACATCATGCCTTGGGAGGGAGCCACAGTCTTGCTTCCCAAGGCAGGCGCCAATTCACACATGGCTCTCTCAAGTCATCCTGGGTGTCCCCCACAGAGTTCCAGTCTCCTCAACGCTTTGTGTTATTGACTGATATGTCTGTTTTGAGACAGGGTCTCATATGTCCTCAGCTAGCCTCAAACAACCCATAACTATTAATCCTTCCCCTACTTCCCACAGGCTGGGAATGACAGATGAGTATCACATCTGGTTTATGTAGTGCTGGGAACGGAACCCAGAAACTTGTGCATGCTGGGTAAATACCCTACCAACTAAGCTCCATTTCCAGACAATGGCTGTTTATTTTTGAGTTAGGCTAGTCCTCATCTCACAATCCTCCCACTTCAGCCTGAGTGCTGGGATTACAGATATGTACCCCACGCCTGGTGCCTCCATCACTTTAGACCAAAGATGGCCAGTCCCATGGGTAGCTGGGAACCTAAAGGGCCAGCAGCAATGAGGACTGTTTTCCCTAGCACTCCTAACCTTATTCCCTAGCACTTGGCACTGACATCCCATAGCATGGTAGAGCCTTTGCCTAAAATACCTCAGTGAGAGACTTGGGGCATGACTCGGTGGTAGAGCTCCTGCCTAGAATCCCCCAGTGAGGGGCTGGGGTGTGGCTCAGTGGTAGAGCACCTGCCTAGAATTCCCCAGTGAGAGGCTAAGGTGTGGCTCAGTGGTAGAGCACCTGTCTACAAGTCCCCCCACCCCTTCCAGAGGCTGGGGGCGTGGCTCAGTGATGGAACACTGGCTTGGCATGTGTGAAGCTGTGGATTAAATCCCAGACACTTGGAAAAAAAGAAATTGGGACCTCACTTGATGAGGAGAGCCAATGAAGAAAGAACCCAGAAGAGACAATGGGCCTTTCTCCCTGAAGGTCATGTCCTGGCCTAGGGCCAGGCTGGCGGGTACACTTCCCCAACCACTGGCTTCCATAGAGCCACCACTGCTGGACAGTGGGAGCCTGTGCCTAATCTTGTCTCTTTGTATTTAATTTTCTAAATATATATTTCTCTTTATCTGATGTGAGCAAGTGTTTTATTGCATGAAGTATGTGCACCATGTATATATATCCAAGTGCAGGACCAGAAGAAGGCGTCAGATCCTCTGGAACTGGAGTTACAGATGGTTGTGAGCCACCAAGTAAATGCTAGGAGCTGAGCCTGGGTCCTCTGCAAAAGCAGCAAGAACAAGGGCTCTTAACCATTGAGGCATCTGTCCAGCTCCCAGAATTCTGTCTTTGTTGCTACATGTGTGTATGTATGATGCTGGCTGTGTTCGCACACCAGGGTGGAAGATGTCTGGTAGGGTCATTTCTCTCTTTATACCATATGGGTCCAGGAACTGTGCTCACCAGCCCAACAAAGCAGTTTTTCAACCCTACCATTACTCAGCACCCTCACTCTCCTCCCAAGGAATGACTCTTGAGTACTGACAGAGGCCCTGTAGCCTCTCCATGACAGGCACTGAGCATGCATCCTTTGCCTCTCTGGCCTGGTCCTCCCATCCACCTCCACAGTCTGCGCTCATGGTGGAGCTAATATACTTGGTGGTAACCTAGGCCACATCCTGTACAGCTCTTCCCATGTTACAAAGACAGCTGAATCCTTGCCCTTCATCTCTGATACCTCCCTAACCTCAACTTCCACTCCTTTCCACAGATGTGTCTGTGTGTGTACATATTCATGTTGTATGTGCACGGACATGGTGTGCATGCATGCAGAGGGAGCTGGAGGTGAGTATCGAGTGTCGTAGTGACATGCCTATTTCTGTGATACAATACCCTGACAAAAAGCAACTTAGGGGGGAAGTTTTAGCTCCACAGTTCCAGGTCATGGTCTGTCAGAGCAGTGACGTCAAGGTAGGAACCTAAATAGCTAGTCACATCACATCCACAGTCAAGAGCTGAGACAGACGAAAGCCTGCTTGCTTAATGCCCAGATGGTTTTCTCTAGTCTCATATAGTCCAGTGTCCCAAACCAGAGACCAGAGCTGCCCACTTTCAGGCTGGGTCTTCCCAGGTCAAATAACAATCAAAACAACCCAAGCAGATAGATTAAATTCACAGTAGACAATCCCCCATAAGACTCTCCTGTCATGTAATTCTAGGTTGTGTCAAGTTGACAATTAAAACTGACCACCAAAATAAAATAAATAAATAAATAAATAAATAAAACTGACCACTACACTGGGTGGTGGTGGCGCACACCTTTAATTCCAGCACTTGGGAGGCAGAGGCAGGTGGATCTCTTTGAGTTTGAAGACTGGTCTACAGAGTGAGTTCCAGTGCAGCCAGGACTGTAACATAGAGAAATCTTGTCTCGGAACTGCCCTTCCCCTCAAACAAAACAAAACAAAACAAAACAAAACAAAAAACCACCTACTACATTGAGTGTCTTCCTTTATTACTTTCTATCTTATTCTTTGGGACAGGATCTCTCTGTCTGTCTGTCTGTCTGAACCCAGAACTGGCCAATTCAGCTAGGCTGGCTGGCCGGCAAGCTCCAGGGAGCCTCTGTTTGCTCTGCCATGCACTGGTTTTTCATAGGTGCTGGGGATCCAAACTTGGGCCCTCATGCTTGTGTAGTAAACACTTTACCAACCAATCTCCCCAGCCCTGAGATGGGTCTTGTTTCTACACAAGCCAAATTAATTTTGGCCTCCAGGGTTTTTGTATCATCATCTCTGCCCTCTGCCACTGCGTGCGCCCGTGCTCTCTCTCTCTCTCTCTCTCTCTCTCTCTCTCTCTCTCTCTCTCTCCCTCTCTCCTTGCTTCTTAACTTTTTGTTTGTTTATGTTTTTCTAGACAGGGTTTCTCCGTGTAGCCTTGACTGTCCTGGAACTCATTTTGTAGACCAGGCTGGCCTTGAATTCACAGAGGTCTAGTTGCCTCTGCCTCCTGAGTACTGGGATGAGAGGTGTGCAACCTCCAAGCTTCTTCCATCTTAGAGGGGGAACTGGGCTGCACTGCACTTCTAGTTGGTTGTCCCCAAACCTCTGTGTAGGGAGACACCCTAGCCCCGCCCAATAGTCCTGGGACAGGTACCAGGTGGACCCGGGACTCGCCCATAAGGGCGTGGTGAAGGAAAGCCGGGGTGACATAAGGGAGCTTCTTAAGGGGCTGGACGTGGGGACCCTGGCCCCTTTTGTTCTGGCCGCGCTGGCTGGGTTCTATAACCTAGCTCTGGCCTGTGTTTTACCTTGGTGTCTTCTGGAATAAAGAGACCTTAATCATACACCTCTGGGACAAGCCAATGACATGGGCAGAGTCCTGTAGTGGTGGGTGGAAGATACAGTAAGTAGGGACTGTGTGGAGATGTTTCTCACTGGGTACTCACTTATCAAAGAGAAAAGGAAGAAACAATCACTATTTCCACTGCAAAGATACAGAAAGACAAATCTCCAGCTGGGTGTGGTGGCTCTCACCCATAATCTCAGCACTGGAGGGTGAGGCAAGAAGAACATGAGTCTGAAGACAACTTAAGCTGTAAGACTGAGACCTTGTCTCAAAAACCAACCAAACTATTCCTAATTCTAGTATACTCTCTAAGATAGTGAGTGTTAACTGTCAATTTGACAGAATCTAGAATCTCTGGGAGACAGACCTCTGGGCATACCTTTGGGATGACCTCAATTCTGCTAACTGCTATAGGAAGACTCATTTTAATAGAAGGTGGGACTGAACACTGAGGGGATCCAGCAACACGCCTGCACCTCTGTTTCTTGATTATAGGTGAGATGTGACCAACGGTTTCAAACTCCTGTCACCTAGATTTCCCCACAATGATGGACTCCTTGAACTGTGAACCAAAACCCAACCCTCTCCCTTGAGTACTGTCAGGGTATTTTATCACAGCAACAGCAAAAGAAACCAGAGATCCCTTGTGGTTTAAAATTTTGCTGTTGGAGTTGTGGCTGTTGTTCAATTGGAAGAGTGCATGCCCGTCATGCACAAAGCCCTGGGTTCCACCCCCAGCACCACATAACCTGGGCATGGTGGTGCAAATTGGTACTCTTAGCACCTAAGAGGCAGAGGCAAGAGAATCACTGAATGTCTGAGGCCAGCCTAGGCTATGCAATGAGTTTCTGAGCCCTGTAAACGGCACTGCTACCTCTGAGTTACCCACACTGCTTTAAGGAACCCCTAATAAATTCACTGGTTCATCATGATGGACTTTGGTGGAATTCTTATTTTGGCCTGTTGCTGGTGTCCTAACTGAGTGGGATACACATTGGCTCTTGTCTCCCCAGGAAAAGTCCCCATGCTGCAGCCCCTTCTCACCCTTGACCCCACATACCTTCCTTGGAGCCACTGGCTGATGCCACCACAGAAGATGAAGTTGACCCAATGGATGGCCTGCCCACGGGATTGGTGTGCTTTCCCCCTCGGCCAGGGGGCTTCAAGCCACTGGGCTTCTGCATGGTGGTGCCACCAGGAGGGCAGATAAAGGCAGATGATGGTCACATCCTCTCTGCCATCCTTGGTCACCTGTGGAGAGAACACAAGAGGGATGGAAGCATAATGTCCTCACTAGGACATGGGGCCTTGGCTGGTCCCAGTGGTCCTGAGACCCCCACATGAGGGCACCCCAACAGCCATGCAGCAAGAATGAAGGCCTTCTAGGCCCCAGGTCCCTGCAACCATCTTCTCAAAAGAGACTCCCTTAGTTTCCCTACCATTCTTGATGATCCCAACAAGCCTACTGTGCGCTGTGAGGAACCCGTGTGCCATGAAGCACCTACTATGTGTAGTGCAGAATCTACTGTACACCACACCTTGCACAGATATGGCTGGCTATTCCCAAGTTGCTGAGTAAGTAGCAGGTATCTTACAAGTAGAATACTCACAGCCAAGAAAAGCTTGGAAAAACCCATTATCACAGCACTTAGAGGTGGAGGCAGAAAGATGGAGCTTTAGGCCAGCCTAGGTTATGCAGTGAGAGCCTATCTTAACAAAAGAAAAGGGGGCTGGAGAAATGGCTCAGTTGTTACAGTGCTTGCTATAGAAGCATGAGGACCTGAGTTCAATCCCCAGAAATCATGGTAAAGAGTCAGGCATGATGACTGTGGTGGTTTGAATAAGAGTGGCCCCCATAGGCTCATGTATTTAAATGCTTAGTCACCAGGGAGTGGCACTATTTGAGAAGGATTAGGAGGTGTGGCCTTGGTAAAGGAAGTGTGTCACTGTGGGGTGGGCTCTGAGGTTTCAAAAGCCCATACCAAGCCCTGTCTGTCTGTCTGTCTCTGTGGATCAGGGTGTTGCTCTCAGCTACTTCTCCAGTATCAGGCCTGCACACCGCCATGCTTCCTGCCATGATGATAATGGATCAAACCTCTGAAACTGCAAGCAAGCCCCCAGTTAAATGTTTTCTTTTATAGGAGGCATCCAGGTCTGGTCTCTTCACAGCAATATGACAGTGACTAAGACAGTGATACATGCATTTAACCCCGGTGCTGGGAAGGCGGAGATGGCAGATTCCCTGGTCAGCCAACTTAGCCTTCTTGGTGACCCCAGGCCTGTCTCAAGAAACAAAGAAGGTAGTATCAGAGAAACAACACCCAGAGTTGACCCCTGACCTCTACACACAGGTGCTTATATATGCACTGGAAAAACACACACACACACACACACACACACACACACACACACGGAATGGAAGAGAGGGAGGGAAGAGGGAGGGAGAAAAGAAAGTGATTAGTAAAGAGGAAAAAGGAAGAAGGGAAAAAAAGAGAAGAAAAGGAAAGAATAGATCAGTGAGAGGGTTCAGAAGGTAAGGGTGCCTCCTGCCAAGCCTGAGATCCCGAGTTCAATCCCCAGGCCCCACATTGTAAGAGAGACCAACTCTTGCAAACTGTCCTCCACAAGTACATGCAACATACATGTGGCCACACACACAAATAAAGTGCTCCATATTTTTTTTTTTAAAGAAAGAATACATTTATAGAGGCAGGACCTAGAAAGATAAACTCAATTTCATGGTTTCCATCAAAGTTACAGTGGAGTGGCGATGCTGAAGTGGCCCCAGGGCTAGCCCTTCCCTACCTCCCGGCCCGGTGGCCCTGCCCTAAAACAATATTTCCAAGACCCTGACCTCAAGGGACAGCGCCTGCTTGCTTCAACTAACAAAGGAGAGCAGGGAGCTAGCAGAAAGGAACCAAGCCGGCATTCAGCCAGTTCCAGCTATCCCAGCCAGGGGACTGGAGGGGACCGGAAGGGGGAGGGGAGAATGGTAGCAGGAAGAGGGGAGGAGGCAAAGGGCTGAGCTGGCCCTCTGTGACTCAGCCCTGCTCTGGGACAGAAAACTGGTTGTGGGGTTGGGGGTGGAGGGGAACTTGGGAAAGCTGTGACATGGTGATACACTGGCCTCTGGCCACAGTACAGCCAGTGGTGGAGGCCATGAAGAAAGATCTTGTGCAGCCTGAGGTCTAAACCCAGTCTCACTCCAAAGGCCTTGGGACATGAAGCCAGGTGACAGTCCCAGGGTTATCACCTGTACAATGGGATATAGGTAGCAGGCATGGTCAGCACACAGTGAGTCCAGCACAAAAGAGGCGGAGGAGGAAGGAAGATTTGGAGTTCCAGGTAGCCAAAATGGCCTAGCAGGTATAGACAATTGCCACCAAACCTGATGACCTGAATTGGATCCCAGAGCCCACACGACAGAAGGGCAGAACTGGCAAACACATACACTAAAATGTACTAACATTAAAATAAAATAAAATAAAGCTGGATTGGTAAAGTGCTTGCCCTAGCACGCATGAAGCCCTGAGTTTGATCCCCTGCACTGCATAAACTAGGCAGTTATGCACACCTGTAATCCCAAATACTGGGATTCTGAGCAGAAGGATCAGAAGTTCAGGGTTAATCTCAGCCACATAGTGAGTTTGAGGCCAGACTGAGCTACAAAAACAATTTTAAAATTATAAACCAGTTTGGTAGTATACACTTTTAATCCCAACATTCGGAAGGCAGGGGCAGGCAGATCTTTATGAGTTTGAGGCCAGCCTGGTCTATAGAGTGAGTTCCAGGGCAGTCAGGGCTACACAGAAAAACCTTGTCTCCAAAAAAGAAAAGAAAAAACAACAACAACAAACTGGGGTCTAAGTTTGGCAGATGCCTGCGTTAGGAAGATGTAACCCAGGAGTATCCCAGATACTTGACACAGCTACGAAGTCCCAGTCACAACTGTCCCATGGCTCTGTGTAGAGAAGCACTGTCTGGGAGCAACAGGCCCCTCTGTGCTGCCCTCAACTGCCATTTCCTGGCAAGAAACCGGAGCTCTGTTTCAGGGTTTCCATTTCAGCTGCCTGGGGGTGACCGGCCACAGCTTCAGCAGGGGAAACGAGGCCCAGGGTGCTGACCCAGTGAATTGGTGGTGCCCTAGAGAGGGAACAGTGCCAAGTGGAACAATGGAAAGCCCAACTTCTCTGCAAAAAAATGTGGCCTGGGGGCAAGGAGGAGGGCACCCTGGCCCAGAACTGCAGCCAAGCCCCTGGCCCTGGCTCACTCTGGTTCCTCGATAAGGGCACTACTACCCAGGCTAGCCATGCTCACCCTCCTCTCTTTCAGTTTTTAAATATTTATGGGGGAGGGGTATTCATGCATGTTCCATGTGTGAAGGGTGACAAATGGGGGGAGTTTCATTTCTCTCCTTCCACAAGAAAGCTCTGGGAATTAAACCCAGGTTACTGAGCTTAGCAGCAAGCCTCCTTTTACCTGTGGAACCAGCTTGAAGCCCCTTCTTTTTGGTATTTGATATATAGCCCACGCTGGTCCCAAACTCTCCATCTTCCTGCCTCTTTTCCCCCAGTGTTAAGACTACGGGCCCAAGACATCATTCTGATTGCATCTGGCTGAGAGTCAGGGAACATGGCAGCTTGCTGTGGTCACCAAGAGGTCATCAGAGTCCATGACCTCCCAGATACAGACAAACCAAGGGCAAGGCTGGGATGGTCCCTCCCTGTGAGTCTTGCCAACTTTCTGGCTTCAAACCAGCTGGGCCTCAGGCCTAGGAGAACCAGAGAGATGGTGTCCATCTGCCTGGGCCCCAGTCACCACCCTCCTCCCTCCTCTCTCCCCTGGTCCCCAGGGCCATCAGGCAGAAGGGTGAGAGGAATAGCCAGGCCCAATACTTGCACGGCTGTGTTAATACTGGCAAGCCCATGGCAGACGTATGCAAAGAATGGGGGTGAGGACCCTGCCTGGGGTCTTGGGCCCCCTTAAGAGTGCCAAGAAGGCAGACCACCATGTGAAGAGCGATGATGGCAGCAGAGACCAGAGTGAGGTTCTGGGAGAGAACCTAAAAGCAGAGTGGGGAAGCAACCAGACACAACAGAGAATTGACTTCAGGGAGGGGAGTGGATAAAGCTGGAAAAGCCGAACAGGGAAGACCGACCAACAGCAACCAGCAACCAGCCCCCAGAGTCAACCACCGATGCTGGGTTTTTTGTTTGTTTGTTTGTTTTTGTTTTTTTGAGACAGGGTCTCTTTATCCCTGGCTTGTCTTGGAACTCAAGTAGATCAGGCTGGCTTCAAACTCACAAAAGTCTGCCTGTTTCTACCTCCCCAGTGCTGGGATAAAAGGCATGGACCACCACACCTGGCCCAACTTTGTTTTTGTTTTTGTTTTTTTGAGACAGTGTCTTTTGTAGCCAGATTAGGCTTCAAACTCATGGTTTGAACTTCTGATCCTCCTGTCTCCACTTCCTGAGTGATGGGATTACAGGCTTGAGGCACCATGTGGACTTGTGTATGTAAAAGGATCCTGTTAGCTTAGAACTGGGTTCTTCTGTCTCAGACTTCTCACCAGCTGGAGTGACAGGGATATACTAAAACATAAAACACACAACTAAACAGTTCTTTTTTTAAACCACCTGGCAGGCCAGTGCAGAGACTGAGAGGATAAAGGCACTTGCTATGCAAACCTGGTGACCTGAGTTCAATTCCCAGAACCCATGCAAAGGTGAAGAAGAAAACCAACTCCAAAGAGCTGTTCTCTGACCTCCAAAGATGCCTCATGATACCTGTGTGTGCACATGTTTGTGCATGTGTGCGCTCACACACACACACACCATGCATGATCACACATACATAGTATTAATAATTTGGGTTTATTTTTTTAGTCATTAAAACTAAGCTGGAGAGATGCCTCAGCAGTTAAGAGCACTTGCTGTTCTTCCTGAGGACTTGAGTTCAGCTCCCAGAACCCACACTTGGCACCTCACAACTACCTGTAACTCCAGCTCTAAGGGATCTGATGGT